GGACCTGTCTCAGCTAATTAAGAAAGTGAATTTGTATGAAAAGTTGTTTTTTAAAAGTACATTTTATCATTATATCTGCGTGGGTTGATTCATCAGTTGGAGATGTCTTTTAAGTCTCAAATACTGGCCTGAGAACTTGCATATTGCTGAAGTCTGTTTCAAAGTGATGGCACCACCTCCTCAAAAATCACCTTTGCTTAATTCTGTGGTGTTAGAACTGATTGGGGAGAAAGGCACAGGCAGAATGTCCTTCGGAGACAGGACATGCCTGTCCCAACATACTGACTGGTCTCTTCTAGATCAAAATTAGTGGCAGGTTCTCAGGCAAATCCCACCTCCTCTGTTGCCCATAGATGCCAAAAACATTATTGATTTTCATGAAAGCAGAGAAGAAAATGCACTTTTGTAACTGGAATAGAAGACAAGAGAGGCTGATTGAAAAATTGTTTTTAATTTATCACAACTCTGATTGACTTTTTTAAAGGATAAGGGAATGTTTATAAGGAAATCCAAGGAACTTTGGAGGATATTAGGATATGATACACTGGGGTTTGGGTTTTTAAATACTAGTGGGAAGTAGTACATGGATAATGTAACAACACCTATGTACTCACCACTCAACATGAAAAAGTAGTAAAATTTGTTATATGGCTTCAGATTATTTTTCAATTTTGAAGAAATAAACATTACAGTTGAATCCCCACCTTTCCCTGCCTTACTCTCTTCGTCCCTCCCCAAGGACAAGCACTGTCATTTACTCGGGGGGCCTGCCATGCAGATGCCTGGGAGCACGGAGCCCCTCTGTGTATGTAGTCTGTATTTTGTAATTTTATCTCCCACGTAAATGTTTAATTTTTTTGTTTTGAGTTTACATAAATGGTACCTTATCTCATTCTGTAATTTTCTTTATTCTCCTCCACATTAAATCTGGGGGATCCAGAGTATTGGAAATGATCAGTCCTAGACCATTGACTTCTAACTCTTAAATGGTATTCCATTTTATGAATATATCAAATCTGTCCCACTACTAAGTCAATTGGGTCACTTCCAGTTTCTCTCTGTTATAAGCAGGGCTGCAGGGAACATCCCCGTACACCAAGGGAATTGCTTAAGTCATAAAGCGGGCACCTTGTCAGCTTAACTATATGTTGCCAAATTACTGTCCAACATGAAGGTACCAGCTTCAGCAGATGCTGAGAGTTCCCGCATCTCCGTTTCTTCACCAGTACCTAGAATTGGCAAACTTTTATTGTATTTTATTGTACTGGATTTATTGTACTGGATACTTTTATTGTATCCAGCCTGGTTGGACACAAAATGGTATTTCTCTGTTGTTTTAGTTTGCATTTCTCTGATTTCTAGAGAGATCAGGCACCGTTTTGTGTTGTGAATGACCTGTTCGTGGTCTGTGCAACTTTTCTGTTGCATTGTCTTTTTCTTACTGTTTTACAGTGAGTCTTAAACACTTTCAAGCCTCTGCAATTGTGTGTAGCAGTATGTTTAATTTCATTTCAAAATGTGTCCGTGATATGGATTCATGAGCTTTCCTCATATGCCATTGTCCTTCTACCTTTTAAAGTGTATTTTATTTTTTTTTAAATGTTTGTTTATTCATGAGAGTCAGAGAGAGAGAGGGAGAGAGAGGGAGAGGCAGAGAGAGAGAAGCAGGCTCCCCCACTAGCAGGGAGCCCGACGCGGGACTCGATCCCAGGACCCTGGGATCATGACCTGAGCCGAAGGCAGACACTTAACCATCTGAGCCACCCAGGCGCCCCCAAAAAAAGTGTATTTTATTAAGTAGAAGGGAGCCAATGAGAGGTTCTCGTAAGCAAGGCTCTGAGAGGGGAGAAGGAGGAAGGGGGTTAAAGAGATACTTGAAACACTTTAGCTGAGCGGGGACTTGTGAAAGACAGAGGAAAGGTGGCCAGGGGAGCTCTGGAGCCTGAAAGAGAGGATGGGTCACCTAGGCCCTTGGAACAGAGGGGCTCCGTGCTCCCAGGCATCTGCATGGCAGCCACCCCGAGTAAAGCTAGTGTGCAGATGGGGGAATGCATCTGTCTTACTAGAAAGTGACTGTAGGAATTTGTCTCGACTACGGGGTGGTGTTTCTTGCTGTGGGTCCACCAGCTGGGAGCTCACCCGCCCACCACGCCCCCTCTTCAGACATCTAGTGCTTACTGTGGGCCAGGAACTGCGGGTAGGGATATAAGAGCGTGCAAGACAAAGTGAGACTCCCTCAGGGAGTCCAGTGGAGCAGAGTGGCCAGTCCAGTACCGTGACGGAAGCAGGCGTGGAATTCCAGACGTGCCGAGGTGGGGAATCTTTTCTTCCCTAGGTGAGCCAGGACTTCCTCGAGGTGAGTCCTACCGACCCAGCCAGGGGAAGGGATACAAGCACAAAAGACGGTTTGCTCAGGGCTCACAGGCATGATGACCAAGCATGGTGAGGTGCTGGAAGCCAAGTAAGAAATTTGAGCTTTATCCTAAAGATGGTGGGGAGCCATTGAAGAGTTTCTGGGAGGTGAGAGGCAAAAAAATGTTAAATACAAACCAATGTAGACATATGGTCCAGCCTACCTATTGGTTCTTTGGCCCTTCCTAGAAGACTGTTAGCTAGAGAGGCTTCGCTGGGGTCTGCGTCCTGGAATAGGCGTTACGTTGCATGACACAGAGAAGGCCTAGCCACATTGACCTCTCAGGAGTTACGCTGATTTCTATTTGTGGTTCTGCATTTTCTCTCAGTAGCAAAACAGTGACTTCTTTATCAAAGTTGATCCTTATTTTCAAGTCACAGAGAACTGGACAAATTAATGAGAGCCAGTGGTTTCCGGTTCTTCAGAGAAACATCCTCAAAATGTTTACTGATTAGAATGAGTCACTCCCCAGGGGTCTCTTTCTGCAAAGGCCTCCTTATGCTCAGAAAGGGACATTGCTGAGAAACCCCAGCATTCCTGTTCAGTGGCACATAACCTCTCTCTCACTGCCGACTTCTAGAGCAGCTCACGACTTACATGGAGCTGACCACAGGCGGTAGAAATGACAAGGAGCATGGCCTCCAAGTCACTCCCTTGCCATCTGCTCTTGGAGAAGAATGCAGGGGCAGGGCAGGAACAGAGTTTTGACAAAATTAAAACCTTCCAGGTTTTTCCTCTGGAGGCCGATGTGAGCCTGTCCCAGCAGAGCCTCACCTCATCCTGCCATTGGTAAAGGAACTTAGATGTCTCTTCCGGTTTGTTAACAGAAAGGTGACCAGACAGTGAACGTCACAGGGGTTAGAACCAGGCCTAGGAGTGAAAGGCCCCGAACCAAGCCTCATCCCACCCCCAGGACTGCAGACTAGTTCCGACGGTGGGCCATCCTGTTGACAAAAGCAGACGTGCTCCTCATAGCCTCCTGGGTGCTGGTGGCCTCTGTCAAGACTCCTCCAGTTTAGGCCCTTCCCTGATCGTAACCTATGGAGTGGCTGAAGCTGCCCTAGTGATAATTCAGATGACGCAGAAGTTGAAATCTTCCGCTGCGTGAACCTGGTGGGACGGTCCAGTGGGATTTACTTTGAAAAATTATCCCTTTCTTAAGGGGTTTGAAGAGTCTTACGGAATCACAGACTGAAGGAACGTGGTGGCGGGGAGTGTGGACCCACCTCTCGTTTACTAGATGGAGAAACCGAGGCCCTAAGGAAAGATTTGCATGGGTCACCCTAACTAGCGGAGCCAGGACCGAAATCAGATGTGATTGCATAGCAGCTCTTCCTGTGCTCCTGCTAGTGTTAATAAGTTGGCGTCTCACATTTTATAATCAGTGTTGTATCAGAGCACTTGGCCTTTGATAAAAAAGAGACCTATTTAGGGTGTAAACTAGACATTTGAATAGGAGCCACAAGCCAGGCACTGTGCTAGAGAGATGTAAAGACTCAGCAATAGATGAAGCATTCTGGAGGAGAAAACCCTAAGACTATCACAGTACTGCGTGACGGGTGGTGCTAGAGATCCATGAACCAAGTAGGCGTTGCGGGAGCAACTGTTGGGGAAGGGCCTGTGGGAAGACGCCTCTGGGACCTGGGGTTCTGGCAGTCTCCATTCTAGTGCTCTGTCCTTGCCATCGTCGCTCTCCTCTCCCCACATGCACACGTATGCGCCCGGAGAGTGTCTCGGCCCACAGTGAGTGAGTTGACGCGGGCAGGACCTGTGGCGCTGACTATTGAATGGTGTCTGGTTGATTTTCTCAGGGAGCCTTCCCCTGGAGAGGCTCTCGTCACTGGGTGTCCCCACGGACAGATCTTTTATTTGCTTCTGCTTCCCCTCTGGCCTCCTGGCGCGGTTTTGTTTTATGACTTCATAGCAGCAGTAAGAGCTGACAACAACCCTTCTGAGGCCCAGAGGGCTGGGCTTTTACATCAGTGGCTTTGGAGCCAAGGCAGTAAGGAATCGGGGTTGAGGTTTGGTTGGCAGATGTGGTCTCCCCTCCGTCTTTCAGGAAGTCTCCCACCTTATCCTGAGTCAGGATTCCCAGATGTGCCTGGGGTGGTTCTGATGACCTTTCTTTTGCGTCTCCTGACTCCGGCTAGGTGGCAGAAAGCTCAGGGTGGTTAAGATCCCGAGCAGAAGGACATAAACAGGTGTCTTTTGACACAGCCATACAGATTTCCCAAGTCCTGGTAAGGGGCTCTATTGGTGGATTTGTTTGTGACTTCGACTTCACATGTTGACGGCAGACACTTTTACTTTTCGTTTTGCTTGGTAGCCTCTCAGCTTCCTGCCTGAGAAGCTCCAGACTTCTCGTTTCCGTTAATCAGAAATCACATCTGCTCTCATTTCTCCTCCTCCCCATGACGTCACACGCCTGCTTTCTGGAAGGGGACTGCAGTCCGTAATCCCAGTTAGCCACATTCTGACATGCGAGTGATTTCACTCGGGAATCTGCAGGCTGCTGTGGCTGCAGGAAGTCCGAGTCCAAGATCTCTTAGCTGGGTTGAAGTCACCTTGGGCTTTGCTTGCTTTTCAGGTTGCAGTGCTTTTGTCCACAAAGGCTGTAGAGAAAGTCTGGCCTCCTGTGCAAAGGTCAAAATGAAGGTAAGACATTTCTCAGGGTGGGGAGAGTCCTGGTTGGGGTTTTTGTTTATGGTAATCACATGGTACCAACACTGAGACCAAAACAGCCAAACAGTAATTCTTCTCTAAAACGACCGAGTCTCTTCTTGATTAACACACTTGGGCATCTGTGGCTTTTGGAAAACAAAATGCTTTCAGAACTCTGTGTTAAATACACATTTCTCTGCGTTTCTAGCATCTCGGTGTTGTTGTTCAGGTGATTTTGTGCTGAGCCACATCTGCAGGCCTGCTCTGCCGGCCACCCTGAGGGCAGCAGGTGTCATTCAGGGACTTTGAGCTGCTGGGGAGCTGGGGAGGGCTGAGGGTTTGACGTGGCTGCCTGGTGGCGCTTGTGTCCACGGGGCACGAAGCAGTTGGCTCAGGTCACGTGGCGTAAGACTAGGACACGTGCCGGGCGTGTGGAGGGACCTGCTCTGGGCATGCGCGCTGTGCAGTAATGGGCACCGCTTATCAGGTGGCCCTTAAAGAGAGTGGGTTTGGGGGCCCACCCTCGGGGTAGCCTCCGTGGTTTTCAGTGTTCTAGTCACCCATAAATAAATGTCCTTTTGTCCTTGTCAGAAGAGCACTCTCCAGCAGCATCGACACGATGCTTAGCATGCCGTGTGCTGAATCAGTGAGCAAACATTTGTCTGTTACAGCGGCCTCACACTTGAATGAGTGTGCATTAGAGTCACCTCGGGGACTTGCTAAAAGACCATTTACTGCACACCTCTCCCCGAGTTGCACACTCTAGGGTGGGGCCCAGGGATTTGCATTTCTAGTAAGTTCCCAGATAACACAGATGCTGCGAGTCTGAACTAGTGTAAAAATGATACACTTCTGTACCCCAGATCTTATCAGCCCATGGGCATAAATTTTGTTGGCTCTTGAAGTATTTTTTGTTGTTGATGATGCAGTTATTTTTAAAAATCACATTTCATATCAATTGGGATTTCTAATTTCTCCTAAAAAATTGGAAGATCTCAAAAAAAAAAAAAAAGAAAATTGGAAGATCTCACAATCCTGGTTATTTCCTCTTACCCAGCATTCCCAGTTTTCACCTTGCTCTTTTTCCTCTTCTCCATAGTACTTCTCAGCTTCTCAGAGTTTCTATTTAACAGCCTGTATTTACTTACTACATTTATTTTGTGTGGTCTTGCACCTTCCCCCCACTAGCACGTAAGCACCAAACCTGCCAAGCAGTCTGAAGTCAGGAATGTTTGATCCATTGATAGATCCTAAGCATCCAGCATGGACTCTGGAGGTCTAGGTCCCTGAATGTTGGGGAGATGGATGGGAAGTGGTAATCCACGGGGTCTGAGTGGCTGCCGCCTCCTCCACAGGATGTGCGGGTTCCCTCCCCACCCCCACCCCCCACCCCCCCGCACCTTGCCTCCTTCACTTGTTGCCTGCCTGACCCCACGGGCACTGGGTTTGTGATCTGACAGCACTTAGCGCTATTGGGAATGTACTAGGTTCTGTAGAAGGCTGATGATAGAGCTGTAGCATCTCCCCTTATAGGAGAACACAGCCCAAAAGGGGGAGTTCCATTTTAAAATTGTGTCCACTAATGATTTATCTCCGAGTAATTGGTTCACTCTGTAACTTCTCACACACAGTGTTTCACATGCTACAACAAAAATCTTAACTGGAATTTGTACTTGACTTAAGGACTCTTTAGTCCCTTATTAATGCCAGTCACTGGACAAACAGGAATGAAGAAAGGCACAGATGCCGCTCTTCAGGACCTGGCATTCTGCTGGGGAAGATGTCAGGCAGATGGGGACCGTACATGAGGGGGAAACTATGTGGAGGTCTGTGCAGGATTCTCAGGGGCGGCCAGGCACTGCCTTGGGGGAGGAGGAAGAAGGTGATGGGTGGCTTTCCCCGGGAGGTAGCTCTCACGTGGTCTTGAAATGGAGGGATACCCTGGGGCGAAGGGCATTCCAGGCGGGAGAAGCAGCCTCTGCGGGGTCCTGGCGCTCGGCGGGTTTAGCCCGCCGGGGTGGCTGGCGGGATGCTGAGCAACCTGGCCAGGAGCCGGGCTGGAGCTCTCTCCCTGCTCTGGGCTTCTTGAGACCGTACAGAGGAGAAATTGTGGATGCGGTCTGCGTGTATTTATTTATTCCCTTTTTCCTTCAGCAGCCCAGAGGGAGCCTTCAGGCACAGGACACATCTTCGCTGCCCACAGTCATCATGAGGAGCAAGCGTAAGTCACTCAGCCCTGCTCTCTTCCAGCCCTTTTTGACTCTGGCTCAGGACTTAAACACACTTCTCTAATATTCATCTGTTATTCTTAATCAAGATTTGAGTGTTTATTTTGTGGTAAGTTAGAGGAGGCTGCAGGTGATTGACCAAAAGCCTAACGTTCTACCATCAAACTCCCTTGGAAGGCTTCTAGAATAGTGTGTGTACTGGCTTGAAAGGCACCCCTGTTGTCTGTCTAAGCAGGTGATCCGATGCATCTCGAAATTCCTCTTCCATGGGTTGACAGTTATGCTTGTTTTTAGCACCTCACGGTTGCACAAAGAAAATGAGATCTTTCTGATTAAACTTCTTAGTTTAGGGGTGCCTTGGTGGCTCAGTTTGCCTTTGGCTCAGGTCATGATCTCAGGGTCCCGGGATCGAGCCCCGTATCAGGTTCTCTGCTCAATCAGGGAGTCTGCTTCTCCCTCTGCTCCTCGCCCCTGCGTGCATGTGCGCTCTCTCTCTCAAATGAATAAATAAAATCTTTTTAAAAAAAACTTCTTAGTTTATAAACTGTGAAGTTAAGTAAATAATTCTCTTTTTTCCCCAAGGGCTTCAAGTGGTACACAAAATTCAGTAAATCACAGCGTCCCATTCACCAGTGTGTGCAAGGCTCCACTGTGGTTTTACTTAATGTTCTCCCTTTTTCATTCCCCATTCCCTTCCTCCTTCCTTCCCCTCCGTAGCGCCCACTATAGTTATTTAACATGTATCTTTCTGATATGCTCTGTCTTTACACAGATGTTTATATCTGAAAATAACTGTGTGTTGCATTTGTATTAGATATGACTTACACTTCTTCATTCTTTTTTCTCAGTCTGCCATTTTAAAATCTACTCATGTTTGTATGTATAAGCTGTTGTTCCATAATTTAATTATCGGTTCCCCCAAAGATGGATATCTAAGTCATTTCCAACTGCCACTGTAAATAATGCAGTACTGAATATCATCTTAATTGGCTCTACGGGCACCTGTGTGGGACTTACCCTAAGGCAGTGTTTTTCAAAGTGTAGTTCCTGGATGGATAAGAAGTGTGCATTCTTGGGCCCTACTGAGACCTGCTAAATCAGAAATCCCAGAGGTGGAGCCCTATGATCTGTGCTTGAATAGATCCTCCAGGTGAGTCTGAATCACACTCAAGCTTGAGAACCGCTGCTCCACACCGAGTTGCTCTGAGTTCTTCCAGAAGCGTGCAGATTCCCTCTAGGTGGATTAAGTCTGCTTATTATCAATCTTTGCATGTAGATTACTATAAGAAAGGTTTCGCCAGACCGACACCCACTTTAATCAGTGATCCAGTCCATTCCAACATCTTTTACCAGTCTGATCTTCCTTAAACTTTTTTTCTGAGACATTATCCCTTGCTTCAGAAATCTGTGTTTTTTTCCACATCAGAGAATATAAGCTTTTTTTTTTTTTTTTAATACCTGTTATATGTCAGGTTATGTGTGTTACCTCTGACACAAGTAATCTCACTCCTGTTTTACACCTTCCGACACAGTGTGGTGGTGAAGAGTACAGATTGTGGATTCAAGTTGTATGGGTTTGGGTCCAGCCCTACCACTCAGTAGCCCTGTGACCTTGGGCACTTACTACATCCCCACCCTGTACTTCATTTTCCTCCTCTGTGAACGGATGGTAACAGTTTCAACGGGTGGTTCTCAGGTTTAAATGAGATCACACCCATAAAGAACCTGATAGTAGGCCTCCTTAAGTGTTAGCTTCGGCTACTTTCATCGTCCCCAGAAATAGGGAAACTGAGGCTCAGATATTACATCACTTTCCTGAGTGGAGTAGGGATTGGTTTCAAACAAGGGAAAGCTGTTATTTTCACCCCCCTATTCTGTCCTTTAAAAACAAAGTTGTTCTTGGGACACCTGGCTGGCTCAGTCAGTGTGACTCTTGATCTCGGGGTTGTGAGTCCGAGCCCCACGTTGGGTGTGGAGGTTACTTAAAAAATTAAAAAATTCAGAAAAAGCCCCAGACTTGTCCTTTATCACTTTTAGGGTTTTGCGTAGCATGACTTCCTTCTGCTTCTCCAGCCTTTTCTACTGATTCTTCATATACCTCGTCTTTCCTTCTTTGTTCTCTTCTCCTTGTGTTTTACTCCGTGATTATTTCTGCCTTCGTTCATACAGTTCTCATCACAGTGTCCTCCTTTCCCTCTGACTACCCACATCCTTGCCCTTCTTCAAGGACCAGCGTCTCTTCCTCTGTCGGATCTTATCCGCTCACTGACCTCCCTCCTAAAACACCGAGGATAGGCCCCAGGCTCTCAGACACTTCAGCACATTCCCTTTTCTGTCGTCATTCTTATTCCCTGTTGGGGCAGGGCCCACATCTCCTGCTTCTCATGTGCTTCCTGCAGGAACGCTCTGGTCATATGGTAGGTAGTGTGTTTCTGGTGTTTTATTGTATCACCTTCCTCTAAATAGAATTTGGATTGGAAATTAATGGTTTTATTAATTTTTATTAAGTCAGAAACATCCTGTAATGCCGTGAATGTCATAACAGCTGCCCCAGTCTTATTTCCTCCGTCTCTTGACACTCCTGGGGATAGAGAGATCATGCAGCTCGTGTCTGGAGCACGAGCTCAGTTACCAAGGAAAAATAATTTGGTAGCCAAATGCCAGTGTGACACTTGAGTGTAAAATTAGAGCTTCAGTGTCCTCTCTGGTCATGTTCAGGAGACCTGCACAGCATGAGAACAGCTTAGCTATGTGACAGTAAAGTGTTGCATTTTTCTCAGCTGTAAATTAAAGGAATTGGTCAAAATCTGCATTCTCCAACAACGTGCAGAAGAATCACTTGGGGATCGTAAAATGTGTGGACTCCCAGGTCCCACCCCCAAGGGACGAGAAGGGCTGGGAGTTTGCATATCTCCCAAGCACCTCAGATGTGGCTGGATAGGCACTCGCAAAGAACACTGGCCTCTGTTATCTCTGGTTCCTTTTATGCTTAAAATTCTTCCAATTTTATTTTATTTTACTTTATCTTCTGTGTTTAAATATACTGTCATCCCATGATTCTTCATCCCTATTGCCTAATCTCCATGCCACCCCACAGCTAACCACTCTTCTTAATTTTATATTTATCTTCAAGTTTCTTTATTGAAGTAAAGCAAATACCAATTTGGCTTCTTTTTCTTTTTTTTTTTTTAAACGTGGAAGTCTGTTGTGCAGCTTTGTTCTGGGCCTTGATTTTTTTCCCCTCGTTAACGATATTATCTTGGAGATCTGCATCAATTCATGGAGAGTGTACTCATTTTTTTTTTTTTAAAGCTACACAGTATTTCACTGTGTGATGTACCATAATTTGTTAATAGATCTTCTTTTGATACTCATTTGTGTCATTGCCTGTATTTTGCTTTAACCAACAACGTTGCATTGAATGACTTTGGACATAATGTCCTTTCAAGCATCACAAGTGTATCTTATAGAATAAACATATCCAGGGTGCCTGACTGGCTCAATCGGTAGAACCTGAGACTCTTGATCTTGGGGTTGTGAGTTCAAACCCCATCTTGGGAGTAGAGATTATATTAAAAAAAAAAAAAAAAAAAAAGGTAGAATAAACCTATCCTAAAATGGAAATCCGGATCAAAGAATATAGGCATTTGCAGTTTCAATAGATACTGCCAGATTGTCCTTTGTAGAGTTTTTGTACCCACTTACACTCCCAGGGCAAATCTGTTTTAAAGAAATTTGCTTCTATTTGGCATTTGTCAGATGAGTCACTACTTGTGAGCTTGGATACGTGGTTCAGCCGGTGTCCTCTCTTCCTTTACAGCCTCACAGCCCAAGGAGCGTCCTCGATCTGCAGTCCTCCTGGCGGATGAAGCTACTGCCATTCCCATGTTTGCCAACAGACGGTCCCAGCAGAGTGTCTCACTCTCCAAGAGCGTCTCCATACAGAACATTGCTGGGTAAGTGGGGATTTAAAGATTGCACAGTTGACAGCTAGGTGACAAGAGCTTAATAACCATATCATTTGACAAAGAGATTCTTCTCATTGGGAAAAAAAGTGTATAAAATAATGACTTGGTGCACAACCAAGTGTTACAGACATGGAGAATGGGGATTGCATTTTGAAGCACTGTCATGCCTGCCATTTTGTAGCAAGGATCCCCTTTAAACACCATCATCAGCCACGTTGTCCTATGCTTCATGCATGGTCAACCTCGCTTTTAAGGAACCTGAGTTAAAAAAAGATGGTTTTTAGATGAAAATAAGAAGTGAAAATGGAGGGGCCGGGGGGGATGACTTATTTCTGATTTTTGTTTGTAACCACTTGTATTTTCAGATATTACACTTTTCTGTTGGTCAGATGAACCTAGTGTTTCTGCTTTTTATAAATCTCTTTCCTGTGCTTGCATATTGACTCCTGAGTCAGTTTCATGGGAGTGAATAATGGGCCAGTTACGACTATTGGGTCCCCACTCACTCATTTGCATGAAGTTCCTTTTGTGGTCCCTGCAAAAGTTTCCACGGCCCCTGACTATTCAGGCCGAAGCTGTCACATGGCTGGCACAGGGCTGATTATGATGTTGCTGGCTGTTTTGGGTAATAAGACTCCTGCTTTCCCATCAAGTAAAGAAGTCATCTCAAATGTAGGACTGAAAGCATCTCTTCCACCTCTCTTCACCTGGGCCGGAACAAGATTCTTAACTAAAGATGCAAATCTTCCTTGGTCTGTACATCCTACCCTCTGTGCTGGCTAGTGTTTTCTTGTTAAAAAAAAGTTTCAGGTATTTTTATTTTGTTTTGTCTTTGTATTGTCATTATTCAGAGGCCTTTCAGAGTTGTTATGGTTTCAAAATTTGTTTGCAATGTGACTTTAAAAAGCTAGTCTTTAAATAAAATGTAAAGCTTTAAATGACTCTGGCTTGCTTTTGGATCCTACCAGAAACATTACTGGGGGCCTACTGTGCTGGCTGGTGGGTTGGGTTTGAGAAAGTCCAGGGAATACAGTTTATTAGAAGTGCTTGGTCTACAGGTTATTTAGAGAACAAGGAGATAAAGTTAGTGGTTACACAGTGAGTTGCAAATGGAGAAATTTCTTATGTGATGTGTAGAGAGTTTAAGGGAAGAGCATTCTCCTTGCTACCTATGCTTTAAAAAAAAAAAAATTGAAGGCTCAAGAAGTTCAAGTTTGTAATGACATTAGATGCTTCTGACCTTCATTAATAGTTTGTGTTGCATGTTGCCGGGTACCTGACATTAAGTAATTTGTCTTTCATCATTTGGTACTTAGAGCCAGCTGTCATTTTTAGAGTTTTTCAGGTTGAGAATGCAGACCATGGTTTATCAAAATGTGTTTGACAGTAGGTTGCTTCTTTTTGTCCCCAGAGTTGGCAATGACGAGAACATATCAAACACCTGGAAATTCCTGTCTCATTCAACAGACTCACTAAATAAAATCAGCAAGGTCAATGAGTCAACAGAGTCACTAACTGATGAGGGTAAGAGGAAATGATGGCCTGTGTCTTACACATCTGTGGAGACTGGGTGCCGTTCCCTAACCTGCCTCTAAAACAGCAAACTCTTTATAATGAATTGGTAATCAGACTTACCCAGTTGTTAGGTAGTTGTCCATTGAGGGATGTCGTTGACTTTCATGTGGTCATTCTCTAGTACAAACACTTGTCCTTCACCTGGACTTTTGGTACGCGGTCAGTTGTAGCTCTCTCGACAGGTTGTGAGCCTGCGGTCTTCAACAAGTAAAGTGACCAGGTCCTTCTCAATTCCTTATTCACATAGGAATCCTGAATTTCAGTCACATTTGATTTGTGTGATATTTATCACTCTTATCCAGGGTCGTGAATGTGGAATGTGTCACTCCCAAACATTTGGAAATGATTCTTCTCTGGTACTAGACTTTGCGTTCTGGGAATATTCCCTGTGTCAATGCCATGTTTGTGTCTTATGAAGTCACCACCCGAGGAAGGTGGAACTGAGTCCAGCGTAGGCTTTCTAGAGCTCACAGAACCCAGATTCTGATCCTGATCTTTTGATATTTTGAGGAGTAGGTACAGACATGAATGAAGGACAGCTAATGGGGGACTTCGAGATGGAATCCAAACAACTAGAAGCCGAGTCCTGGAGTCGCATAGTGGACAGCAAGTTTCTGAAACAGCAAAAGAAAGATGTGGTCAAACGGCAAGAAGTGATTTATGGTGAGACTCTCCATTTCCTCCACTAATACTTGGTACTTGGTTTGCATTGTGCAGCATTTTTTATCAGGGGAATTGCTAGACCATGGAAAGCCAATTTTCAAGTATGTAGCATGTCAGAGATTTTCTTCAAAAACTTTGAGGTCTAGAGACAGGATCTTATATCTATCCTTTTCTCTTTAAAATTGTTTCCTTTAATTTTATTGAATGTCTTATTGACTGTGAGTGCTTATTTACGCAGCCGCCCTAGAAAGAGATCTCTTGTGATGGTACAGTTTGATTCCTCAGCTACACTGGAAACCAAGCACGAGTCATTTCTATGAAATGGGACACAGTAAATTATGAAAGGCTCTGAATCCAACGAAGACCACTTGGGAAACCACCATTTAAAAGAGTGATGGAATCCAGTATGCTGTCAGAAAACACTGTTAGGTCACGTGAAATAGAGGAATCAGATGAGAACACTTTAGGGGAAAGACAGCTGTTGACCCAGTTTTTAAGTTTAAATTGTGCTGTAAACAGCTTTAAGACTAAAGTGGGCTCTAAATGGCCACAGATGACCTCTGAAGGAGAACGCTTTAAAGGAAACATTCCTGACCGTTAAGCTTTGTCCTCCTTCAGAGTTGATGCAGACAGAGTTGCACCACATCCGGACGCTGAAGATCATGAGCGACGTGTACAGCCGGGGGATGATGACGGAGCTGCTCTTTGAGCAGCAGACGGTGGAGAAGCTCTTCCCCTGTTTGGATGAGCTGATCAGTATCCATAGCCAGTTCTTTCAGAGGATCCTGGAGCGGAAGAAGGAATCTCTGGTGGATAAAAGTGAAAAGAACTTTCTCATCAAGAGGATGGGAGATGTGCTTGTAAATCAGGTGAGCAATGAGAAGGATCTTTCCCAAAAAATGGGGTAAAAAGTGAAGCTTTAGGGTTCAGCAGCCACTCACTCACATCCTGGCTGTACTGTTCGTTATCTTTATAAGCTTAGGCAAGTTATTGAATCTCTCTGAGCATCCAGTTTCCTTTTCTGTAAATGAGGACAGATTTTCTCTAACACCGTTTTTTAAAATTAAAAGGAATGTATACATCAAATACCTAGCATATATGGTAGATACTCAGTAAAAGTCCATTTTCCTTTCTCAGCATCCAGACTGTCAGCAGAAACAGGGTAGTTTAAGAAATCAAAAGCTATCTGTTGGAATCTCAACGTCCCCCGTGCCTCAAATCAAAAAGGAGCTCATTTATCTGAAAACCAACTGAGCATAGAAAATTGAATAAGAAACTATCTAAAATAATTCATAAAATAGATCTTGCTGATATTTTCATCAAGGTGTGGTATGGTTTCAACCCTGCTCCAAAAACAGTTGGACCAGAAGTTATTTTGAAAAAAGTGTTGCTAGTTTAACCCTAACAGACAGATGGGCACAGCGAAGCCGACTAGCTCTTCTTCCCTAGCAGGTCTCTGCCTCGGGGTGGAAGCAGAGGCTTCGTTGCTGGAACACTTGCCCAAGAGCTGGAAGTGTTGTCCTTCCCTTATATTATTCAGTCCATACCCCTCGCCTCATTCATTCATTCCTCTCTCACCTGTTTACTGGGCATAAATCCCAGCTGAAACCACAAAGGCAGACTAGCGTCGACCTGTGCCTCATGGACCCCATGCTCCCAGGTGAACGTAGGCATGGTAGGAGGTAAATGCACGCACAGTGCGGTGCACGCCGGAACGCAGCTGTCTGCCGCAAATAGGGCCTCAAAGTGGGAGCGGTCAGCTCTGCAGGTGAGGACCTTTCCTCCCCAAACATCCCCTCCCAACATTTTCCATGACCCTCTCTCTGCCCTCAGACCCGCACAGGTCCCTCATCTAACCCTGACTGGTGTTGTCCATGGCTCACTGTACTCATGCACCTAAGGATTCATATCTTAGCCCCTCCCCCATGGCGTCCATTTATTGGCTCTGTGTGCCAGTTCTAGAATCACCCTTTTAGAGCACTTGCTTTGTGACGGGAGTGGAGCACCTAAACTCTCTGCCTTAGCTTCCCCTTTGGTAAAGAGGAAGAGGAAAAGCTAGCTACCCTGAGCCTTTTTTCAAGTTTTTCTGGTAAGGATTGATTTGTGTTGCCTTCAGAGGTTTTTAGTACAGTGGAAATTGATGCTTAGCAAGCATCATATGGACCCCATACAGAAACTCATTGGTTTCCCCCAAAGTGAACATATCTTCCGATGAGCCATTGAGATCGCACACATTTTAGGAATGATGAAAGGCCACGCAGAACTGTTAGGACTGCTGACCTGAGGCAGGAGAGGTATGCAGATCCCTAGGTAAGAATAGCTATTTCTGATACCTTTCTAACTTTATCAAGGTGAAATTTTTAACTTCTAGTGAGCCTCCTTGTTTTACCACCGTGTTTATGACACATGGACATTAGAACACATTTTGCATTACTTAAGTGCACAGTACATAGATATTTCTGGGTGGTTGTTTCTTAAAATATATATAACATGTTTAATGAAATAAATTCGTATGCCATATAATGCACCCATTGAAAGTATACAGCTCAAAAAAAAAAAAAAAAAAAAAATGTACAGCTCAGTGGTTTATATTCACGGAGTTGGGCACCTGTCATCAGAGTCAATTTTAGAGCATCTTTATCACCCTGCCCCTCGACTGCCCCTACCCTGGGCATCCACTAATCTCCTCTCTGTCTCTCTGGATTGGTCTGTTCTGGACTTATTATGTAAATGGGATAAAACAATATGGAGACCTTTGCAGTTGGCTTTTCTCACTTAGAATAATGCTTTCAAGGTTCATCAGTATTGTAACATGTATCCATATGCCATTCCTCTTTGTGGCTGAATAGTGGTCCATCCTGTGCATCTGCCACATTGTATTTATCCTTTAAGGGACATTTGGTTTCTTTCCACTTGGGGGCACTTGTGAATATGGTACCCATGAACTTTCATATCCAAGTTTTTGTGCAGAGTACATTCTATGCCTCAGAGCGGAATTGCTGGTCACACAGTAACTGTAGCTTTCCAAGGAACTGCCAGACTGTTTTCCAGAGCTGCTGCGCCATTTGAATCTTTGGGAGGAATTCTTGGGGAAGCGCTCTTGGGTTTTATGAATAGACTGGAAACCGTATACAAAATGGTGGTAAAATTTTAGCACCCTGAGCTCCGACTTAATGTCTCTTGGCTTTTCTCCACAGTTTTCAGGGGAGAATGCAGAACGCCTAAAGAAGACGTACGGCAAGTTTTGTGGGCAGCATAACCAGTCTGTGAACTACTTTAAAGACATTTATACCAAGGACAAGCGGTTCCAGGCCTTTGTGAAGGTACTGGTGTGAAAAATGGAAATCTGCATGGTTGTCTGGGGCACTGTTGCTGTCAGTTGAACGAGAACCTTCCTCCAGTAGCTCCTGATAATCTGTTCTGTCCTTTGCAGAAGAAGATGAGCAGCGCCGTCGTGAGGAGGCTGGGAATCCCAGAATGCATATTGCTGGTGACCCAGCGGATCACCAAATACCCAGTTTTATTCCAAAGAATATTGCAGTGTACCAAAGGTGAGCCCCTCTCCTTACCCAGTCGTGTGTGCCCGTGGACTGTTTCCCGTCTGTCCAGCAGCACAAGGGGCCCCAAGGAAGAGTTCCTTCAGGCTCTCACAGGTCTATAGGGAGATCCTGTGTTTTGCCTTAAAAACTATTTTCTTGGGGCACCTGGGTGGTTCAGTTGGTTAAGCAACGTGCTCAGCAGGGTGTCTGCTTCTCCCTCTGACCCTCCCCCCTCTCATGTGCTCTCTCTCTCTCTCAAATAAATAAATAAAATCTTTAAAAACAAAAAAAAAAAGTTTTCTTAAGTGAAAACTTGAAATGCTGCATCACCAGATGTAGGGTGGATGAGAGCAGGAAGGGAAAGAACCACTTACTGACTCCTTCCAGATTCTGCACCCTGAGCATCTTCTCCCTTACCACAAGATTGGGTGGTGCTTCCCCCCACTTCTTTCCATGAGTGCTAGACCTGCTGCTTTTTCTCACTTAGCCAGGACTTACAAGGTTCTCTCTTGGCTAACCCTGCTCCTAGGCAGTTCTATTAAAGATGAGGTAAAACAAAGACATAAGTTAAAAAATTATTGCTCCTCTCCCTCCCTAAAATTGTTGGATCCTTATTACTTCGGGACATGGTATGGAATTGTGTATTGTGTCTACCAGTGAAAACATCTAACTTTATTTAGAATTAACCTTATGACAGGGATTGGCACGTGAACTTTGGTCTGTTGGCTTCACTCTGCCAGACACACTATCAGCCTGTCCCCAGACGGAAAATGACGGTGTGGGGCGAGGAAGTAGGTTTCCCCCTCCTTGTCTGAACGGATCCATTAAAAACAGGATTATTCCTTCCTTCCAAGACAATGATGTGGAGCAGGAAGATCTGGCTCAGTCCCTGAGCCTGGTGAAGGATGTGATTGGAGCTGTGGACAGCAAAGTGGCAAGTTATGAAAAGAAAGTGCGTCTCAATGAAATTTATACAAAGACAGACAGCAAGTCGATCATGAGGATGAAGAGCGGCCAGATGTTTGCCAAGGAGGATTTGAAGCGGAAGAAGCTCGTGCGGGATGGGGCTGTGTTTCTGAAGAACGCAGCAGGAAGGTTGAAAGGTAAGACTCGTTTTTGTCTTGAGTCTCCATGTACCGGAGAAAGAGCAAGCAGAATTCAGATGTTTTTGTTAGAAACCCGCCGCCAGGTTTTTCCTAGGGATCCCACGCCCGCACATCATACAGAAGCAACAGTCCTTTAATTGTTCTTAATTTTATATCAAAAAGGATGAGGTTGAGATAAATTACAAGATCAGAAACTCCTCCAGTAAGATAACAAGGGAATGATGCAGGTAGGGAAATTGGGGAAAAAAAAAAAAACTAATTTAAAAGCAAAGCAGGGTGGCCCTTCTCGGCACCTGCTCCCGGTGGCCCCGAGGGCGTGCGGACCAGGGGCGGCCCCAGAGAGGAGGCGGCAGAGGGGGGCTGGTGTGTGGGTCTGCGTGTTGCGGCGTGGCCTTCGTGTCCAGAATCGGGAGGAGCGGGAGACCACAGGGACAGGCCCAGGAGCCATGACGTCCAAAGAGGAACAAAAAATCTTGTGCCAGCCAGGAAAATGAAAGGAAGGGTGAAAAGGAGCAAGTTGCTAATAATGGAGAGCCACTGCCCCTGCCCTGGAAGCCAGTGACTGTGTGTCGTGTGCTTCGAGTCAGTCGTCGGTGGTCCCATTCTGCAGTATAGCTGGGACACGTGTCAGTGGCTCGGAGGGCCACGGGGTGAGGAGGCGTGTGTGGAAAGGCTCGGGAGGAGGTGAGACAACAGAGGGAAAAGGCGTTCAGCCGTCGCCTGCGGGCCCTGAGCACTGACCCTCCTCACCATGGCTGTCACAAGGAGTGTGGCCTAGGCCTGGAATCCTGATGTTTTCCCTGCAGCTTATAATAGGAAGACACACATGCCTCCTGAACTGAATTGTTCTCAGGGTACCATTGTTATAAACCTTCTGGTGTTATGTGTCTCTTGTGGCAAGATGCTCGTTCTATATTGTGAAGTTCATAATGCAGTTTAAAAAGGCAAAAAAAAACAAAAACCAAGTGTAAGATTACTACAAAAACTTGGGCTATTAAAGGAAGGCGTATTCCTCTACAGAAACGGGCAACACATTTGGGGTTGGCGTCTCTGGGAACAGGTGCAAGGAGGGAAAGCCCCATCAGGCAGCAATTCAGAGTCTGTGAGATTAAAAACACATCACTTGTTCTGAAGACAGATGGTAGAAGACTTCTCAGCTCCCAAGACCTTAGAGGAAATGTATTTTTAACTCACACCAACTAGATAATTAAAACTTGATGATAATTCATCTCTTTTATCTTCTTCTAAGCAAGAGATCATAAAGGATACTAATTTTCCATTTGGTTTTAATTTTTTCTTTTAAAGGATGAGCTACATCAAGTTAAGGAAGTTACTGTGAGGTTTGTTGATTGATCTATACATCTGATTTTTTTTTTTTTTTAAATAAATCTTTTCATCAAACCTGTTCTCTCTCGGCCTGTATAGCAGCTCTGACTTGACCAGCAGCCCTGAGCATGCCCCAGCCCCGGCCCCGGCCCCGGCCCCTGCGAGCTGCATGCACGAGGCAGGCCAGCCCGATGCCGTCAGCTCCGCTGACGTAAAGCCAAGGCTAGGGATGAAATGTGGGCCCCTCTCTCATCTCTCATGTGTCAGGAACACTGTAGGCAACTGCTGCCAGCCAGTAGCCTAGAGTCCAGCTAGCGTCTCACCCGGCTTGGACCAAACAGTAAAGACGTCCCGGGCGATTGGTGGGCCTCAAAGGTGAATGAAGCTGACCGTGCCTAGAAGTTGGGCTCTGAATGAAAAGGCCTGTGAAGAGGTGCTTGCCGCACAGTGCGCTGGGTGCTGGAACCAAGAGCTGAACTGAGCACTGGGGGAGGCAGTGCGGAGTGGCATGGAGCTAGTGGTGAAGGATGAAGAGCAGGCGCACCCGGCTCTCCGGCAGCAGAGACAGTGGCAGGGAGGGCTGGGGACATGGGCAGAGAGGGGCCTCGTCCAGATGGAGACATGGACGGCTGACACTGTTGGTGGGCGTGGGTGGGCAAAGAATGGGTTCCAGATGGAGGGCTTCCAGCAGGGAAGGGACACAGTAGATTGTTTTCTAGCACAGCAGTGGAGGCAGCGAGGGGGTGCCTTAAAGGACAAGCGGTTCCAGGCCTTTGGGGAGAGACTGGCGACAGACACAGGAGTGCCCCTGCTGTAGGGGCCTGAGTTGCCTGAAAAGGAAGGACAGGAACCTTTCAGAGAAAAGAACGAGCCCCTCCTGCCTCCAGCAGATGTGTCTCCCTACTGCATGGTGAACTTGGACTAGGTGATCCCCGAGGCTCCCTCCGTCCTTCCAGCCCCAGTCCTCTGATGCTCCAAGAAACCGGATCAGGACTCTTCCCGCACTTGGGAAGCGCCTGCCTCCTCTTGCAAGGCCTTGAATTTCCTAGAGCAGCTGCTGCCTGGAGCCAGCACTTGGTTCTTTCCTGTGCACGGCGGTTTATTTATCCACTCCCAAACTAGCAACGACTGGATTCCAGCTGTGAGCATGAAGCTGTGGTCAGCCAGTGGCAGCCGGACAGGCTCTGTCTGGCCTGAAGGGCCTCCAGTGCAGTTAGGGGGTGGCGGGGAGCCCTTTCCCGTCAGGCGAGCTCGTGCCAGGAACAGCCAGTCCTGCACTGGGCACCCCTCGGGAGGGCTGGGCTTGTTTTTCTCTGATCCACTGACACTGATCACAGAAGCCTCAGCATCCCATGAAGTGGAAACTTGTTTTGGAACTTTTTTTTTTCTTTTTTGGCAGACACCCAAATTATTTACAAGTAAACTGTAAGAAGCTTGTCCGAACCGATAGCGGTCCACAGAGTAGTCGTGCACAGCCTGGTTGGTCTTGGCTGAAAACGGTACCTCCCTAGGAACCAGCTGTGCTTGCTCCTGTTCTCTTCCTAGCTGTGTAGTGAGTCACCAGAGAGGGCCTTCCGGTGGGGGCAGAAGCAGGAGAGAAGGCCTGACCGCCTGGGAGGGGGCCGCATAAGTCCTCTCCGTTCTCTCCCCAAGGGGCTGCGGGGGTCGATGACACGGAGGGGCCAGCCTGTTAGCTCTAACTACATTAGGGGCGTACTGGAAGATGCCGCTTCCTGTTCTCCAACAGAGCGAGAACTGGTGGCATTTCCTGGATTACTAGATCCAAGTAGGGATCTCACTTTGGCTTTTGTTTCAGTTGAGAGGAAGGGCAGGCTGTGTCTGTGGGTAGAGGTTGAGGCTGAGTGGGACCTCTTGGAGCCGGGGGACGAGCCATTGTGTTCGCATGTACCGGTGGAATGAGACGGCCTTGTGGAGCCATTCTCTCCTCCTGCGGGTGCGGGGGAAGCCTACCTTGCATTAGACTGAGCTCTTTCGATACATCACCTTTTGGCAGCTCTCCGGTCTGCTGTCCCACACCTCTCCCAGTATTAGGATCCGAAGTCGAGGGGTATTATGACCTGAATATTTGGTGGAATATGTTGCTATTACTATCTGTTAAAGTCCTTCCCAGCTTTATTCTTAAAGTATTTTGTTCGTCAAGTCTCTCCTTATGGGATATATCTTTCCAGAATGGAGTACTCAAGCTTTGTCAAGATAAGGCTTTGGTGATAACTACATTAAAAAATGCCTCTGAAAATGTAATGACCCGATGTGGATCCTGCAGAAATGTAAACGCATCCATCACCTTGGAGGAGTGGAGGGAGAGCACTCTCCCGTCCTGATCTGCTCTGTGGGCTGGAGTGCTGAGTTGGCCTCTGACTTGCTTCACTGCTAAGTAACCCTTGTCCTTCCTCTCCTTCCCCACTTCACAGAGGTTCAGGCAGTTCTGCTTACTGACATTTTAGTGTTCCTTCAAGAAAAAGACCAGAAATACGTCTTCGCATCACTGGTAAGCTGAACCGTCAGTCTCCTCTGTTTGTAACAAATAGTATTTGAAACAGCTGGCTTAAGTATGGGGTCGGAACGCTGGGTTCTTGCTCTCCCACCCTTCCAGCATACTTTGCTCAGGACAGAGTCCTCTATTTCCTCAGATACTCTTGCAGTTTTCCACCCCGCCCCCCCCAAAAAACATTTTTCTGTTCCCTCTCAGTCCCTTTGAGAGCCTTGGACGTTTGATCTAAAGAGATCTATCACTGGAGTATTTCTTGCACATTATGCCCCATAAATTGGGCTGATTTATAATGTTGCCAGCCAGAGTCGCAGAGGAACCTAGAAGGATTCATCATGTAGGAACCATGTCTGAAAACTCTGTAGATACAAATTATTGTTTCTTTTTTGGAAATCTTTTTCTGTTTGATAAAACGTAGATGAAATAACGAGATACTTCTCTTTATCTTGAATCTACCGTTGTTTGTTAAACCATATGCTTTTTTTTCCAGTCTTACTGAGAAATAATTGGACATATATCACCATCTAAAGTGTACAGAATGATGATTCGATTTACACATATTATTAAATGATCACAATAAGTTTAGCTAATACTCATCATCTCATGTAGATAAAATATAAAGAAAAGAAGGAAGAAATGAAAATAGTTGTTGTGATAAGAACCCTGAGAATATATTTATTTGTACCAAACAGCAGAGTTAGCCATAGTCCTCGTGTTCACGTTACATTCCTAGAGCTTCTTTATCTCATAGCTGGAAGTTTGTGCCTTTTGACCACCCTCCTCCATCTCATTCCCCCTCCCTACCCCTCCACATCTGGTAACCACGAGTCCGGTCTCTTTTTTTTCTGTGAGTTTGGTGTGGGGTTGTTTTGTTTTCTTCAATTCCACACGTGAGTGAGATCATGCATCTGGTCTTGCCTTAGATCAGAGTTGTTCTTGAGAGTTAGAATATCGTGTGCCTTTTTTACATTGACCCTCTCCCCTTTTTCCAGGACCAGAAATCAACAGTGATCTCGTTAAAGAAGCTGATTGTCAGGGAAGTAGCACATGAGGAGAAAGGTTTATTCTTAATCAGTATGGGGATGAAGGACCCAGAGATGGTGGAAGTGCATGCCAGCTCCAAGGAGGAGCGAAACAGCTGGATTCAGATCGTTCAGGACACGATCAACACCCTGTAAGTCAAACGCCAGGGCCCATCCCAGCCTCTGTGATTTTATCCCCGAGGGGGCAGTGACCAGTGTCCTCGACATCGTGGGGCTGTTGGTCCATTTCGTTTTGTTTCGGGATTAGGAACAGAGATGAAGATGAAGGAATTCCGAGCGAGAATGAGGAAGAAAAGAGGATGCTGGACACCAAAGCCCGAGAACTGAAAGGTAAAGCTGTGGGACGCATCCGCGACCTTGTCCGTCGGGGGGGACTGCGAGCGGCTCCCAGGACAGTGCGACCCCTCGGCTCCAGAGCTGTCCTGGCAGCTTCAGAACAGGGTGGTGAGTGGCTTTTAATGAAAGAGCAACTGAACCTGAGCTGACATGGGTCCCAGGTCCCGTAAAACGGCCGTCAGAAGGTGTCTGACACTAGGTCAAGGGGGTACTGATTCTCTGTTCTCACTTTGTGTTCTTGGACCCTGGTGACATCCTTTGTACTTTGTCACAGAAGAATTTGCTAAAACTCACGGTCATATTCGAGATTCAGACAGAGAGAAGGGTACTTGAGGAAAAGAATTTTCCAGTTAAATCTGTTTTTGTTAGTTACCCCTGCTGCCATGCTGCGTGTCTGCCATGAGTTATGAGGTGGTTCTGGGAGAGGTGTGCTCACCGATTATGCTCGACCTCTGTTTTTTGAGTCCCTGCTGTTCCGGGTAGTCTTCTCAGCACCCCTGCAAGACACGTTTGCCAATCCCCGTTGTGCACATGAGAAAGCTGAGGCCCACAAAGGCCACGCTGTGGGTCCAGGGTCACATACGTGGAGCGTGGCAGAGGCTTCTTCTCCCCTGCCTTCTAAACAGCAGGGTGGGTGCTCCTCTCTCTTTGCCAGTGCTTATCGAATGTTCCAAAGTAAAGACCGTGCTTTGGGTAGAAATAAGGCCCAGAGTCAAATAAATGTAAGCACCCGAGGAGTTTGGTTAGTCCTTTAAGCTGGACAGAGCACTAACACTGTGTCTGGGGGTGGGGGGTGGGGAGGCAGATTTAGGCTGAAGCCAGAGTTAACACCTGATTTCTTGGCCCACGGTTAGTGTGGCGGGGATGAAAACTTCCTTCTCCTCACATGCATGAAGCCCGGCCAGGCACACTGCTAAGTGCTGGGGGTGCAGAGCTTGCCAAAGCAGCATCCCTGCTGCCAGGGAGCCCCCGTTAGCAAGGAAGACGTACGGAAATGATGGGACGGGACCACAGGCACATCTAAAGGACCAAATCCTGCCTGCAAAGCTGACGCAGGAGCTGAGTCTAAAGCAGTTACCGCACCAGACGAGAGGAGCAGTTAGGGCAAGAGTGAAAGAGGCCTTGAGTGTGTGCGATGTCGGGGCAGTGGGGGGGCGGTCAGGGCCAGGAGGTGGGGGTTTAGCTGGAAAGGCACCAGGGCTTGAAGGGCAACAAGGGAGTGATACAATCTGTGTAGCAAAACGTCCATCTCAATTGTCTTCATTGGCATTGAAGCCCGTGGGCGAATGGCTTGAGGGAGTGGGGAAGCCACTGGGAGTAGAAAGCGGGACTGGGAGGCTCCTAGGAGAGGGGTGGGTGTGGACGGCAGGGTGGGGCAGGGAGACGGAAGCCCTCCCAGGTCCTCGGCATGGCCCAGCTGGAGGATGAAGGGGATGTGGGCTGCGTAAGGGATCACATGCCGGAGGGAGGAGGGGGATGGCCAGAACGGAGAAAAGAGCTTTCTGACAAGCCGAGGACGAGGCATCTAAGTAGAGCTAGCCGAGAGCTAGCCGCAGGCGGGTGGGACTCGATCTGGCGCTCAGAAAAGCGGGCAGGATTCGGGCTGCTTTGCCTGAGTTACCAGTACACGGGAAGTCACTGAAGCCAGGGGAAGGAATATCCCCCAGAAGGACGTGTGTGAGGTGTAGGAGGGCCACCCAGGATGGAGCTGAGAGGAAGCCCCAGGTAGTATTCCACTGCAGATGGCAGGAAGAGAACCAGTGATGTCCTCCAAGTAAGCGGGGGGGGGGGGGGGGGAGCGGTTTAAAAGGAGGGGGGAGGGGTGCCTGGGTGGCTCAGTCGGTTAATTGTCCAGTTCTTGATTTCAGCTCAGGTCATGATCTCAGGGTCATGAGATCGAGTTCCATGTCAGGCTCCATGCTCAACACAGAGTTGCCTGGAGATTCTTTCTCTTCCTCTCCCTCTGCCCCTCCCCCTGCTCATGTACTGTCTAGATAGATGATAGATAGATGATAGATAGATAGATAGATAGATAGATAGATAGATAGATAGATTAGATAGATTAGATTAGATAGATAGATTAGATAGATAGATAGATAGATTAGATAGATAGATAGATAGAATCTTTAAAAAAAAAAAAGAGAGAGGAATCATCCATGCTGGAGAAGATGAAACATAAGCCTCATTGGATCAGTAATGAAGGGTAGACTTGGAAAGAGCAGATGCAGACGAGAGTGGGTTGAGAAATAAACAGGAGGTAGGGGAGTGGAAACAAAATGTAGGTTTGTTATGTCAGAAATTCTGATTTTGCCTAGAAAGTCGCTGGATGGAGTTGCCCCTGCGGTGGGAAGGGGGCTTGGGGGGTGGAGCTGTGTTGTGTGTTGTCCCACCAGTGACCACAAGGTGGCACTCCTGTCCTGGTTCTCTTTACTAAACACCAGCCCTTTCCTCCATCCTCCCCGCAGAGCAACTTCAACAGAAGGACCAGCAGATCCTCCTCTTACTGGAAGAGAAGGAGATGATTTTCCGAGACATGACTGAGTGCAGCACCCCCTTGCCGGAGGATTGCTCCCCGACTCACAGCTCTAGAATCCTCTTCCGCTCCAACACAGAAGAGGCTCTCAAAGGAGGACCTTTAATGAAAAGTGCAATAAATGAGGGTAATTGCCCCTCTTAGTCTCTTCCCAAAGTGCTTTATGCACTAACGTTACCTACCAAATTTTACTTTTCCATTGTAAAATAAAGTACAGGTACAGGAAACAACCCAAAACAAATATTTTGCTTCGTAAATTACTATCAGGGGAACCTCCTTGTAACCACTTCCCAGGTCAAGAAATAAGATGTGGCCAGACACCCCAAAGCCCTTCCACACGTTCTGTCCCCATCAAAGCTCCCTCCCTCCTTCCCAAAAGGAACAGGTACTGTGACTTACACGTTTCCATTCAGTTCTATGGCCAGGGGCCTGTTTGTAGACACTAGAGTCTTGCTTGTGTTTTTTTATAAGGCCTTTCCAGATTCCTAATTTCCAGGCCTCCCCACCATCCCTTTCTTTTCCACATAATTTATCTTCGAAGAATCTGAGCTTTTTGACCTAGAGTGTCTCTCAGAGTCCAGCTTTTATTCACACAGGGCTTCTGTTCATCTGTCCGATATGCTAGTTCCTTCAGATTTTGAGCTGGATACGAAGGCTTAATTACTCAGGCTTGACCTCCCCCCCCTCCCCCCGCCCAGTAAGCTGTGTTCTTGGAGTGTCGTGCTCCTTTATCGGAGGCACAGGATAGCTAGCTGTCTCCTTCTTTGTAACATGCAGGAAAAAGAAGATAAAAGGATAGATACTGGATTTTTTCCCCTTTATTTACCAATTATCAGGATAGTGAATTGCTCTGTGGTCACCCTCTAAGGGTGACCTGTACTTTTTAGGTATTCTTACAGACTCATGAATTTAGACCTGTTTGATGGTTTTCAGGTCACCGCAGTGATTATCCATACTAAACATTCAGAATGTCCTCTATTTGCCAACCAGCGCCTCTTTGTTTGGCTTCCAGGAGCTTCTGACCTGACCCCAGGAGTTTCTGAGAGCTTCGTTGCTCTTTGGTATATTAAGATATTTTAGACTCACTTTGTTTTCTGCCCAGTCTAGAGTCCTTTCTCTAAGGAACTCTTGTATCTTTTCCTGGGAAATGCTATTTTAAGACCACAATCTGGGCAGCAGGGATGGTCATTGCTGCTGGGTTTTTCATTACGTCGTTTGTCATTTTGGACGTCTGGAGCTCATCCTTTAGTAGCTGTCTCAGGAAAGGCTCGTGAGAACACTGCACCCTGTGTCCTTGCACACTGCTAATAATTGGTGCCGCATAAAGCTTGGAAGTCGGCTCTGTGGGATATGAAATCCTTGGTTCACGCTTTCTTCCCTCGGGTATCTTAATTGCTCTTAAATAATGTTCTTCCTTTTTCTCTGGTGTAAAGCATTCCTGTCAGAGTGTAAGTCCCATGCCTCCTGCCTAGGCTACTTTTTCAAAATCCAGGTAGTTTTACTAGCATACGCCTTATGTTGGGGTTGTTCTGGGTTGATGTTCTCAGGGTCACAGCGTTCTAATTTGATGTGGTTTCAGAGTTTTCCGATTTCAGAAAAGTATTCTTAAATTATAGCTTTTAGTATTTTTCCTCTGCCCTTGTTTGGATTCTCTTCTTCAAGAACTCCCGTGATCTGCATGCTGGACCCCTCTGCCTGTCCTCCGTACGCCTTGCTCTCCTCACGCTTTGTATCTCTTCATCTTTTTCATGTTTAAGTATTCTTCCTTCCACCTTCTGGTAAGTCATTTTCTGTTGGGTTTATTTTGCTCTTATGATCTAGTTTTCCTCTCTAAAATGATCGTTTCTCTTTGTTTCCACTCCTTGGCGTCTGTGTTTCCCGATTCTACCCTCGGTTCCTCCATGGCCGTGTCCTCCCCTTGCAGTAAGTAGCCCGTCCACTTCACGGACACGTCTCTCTGAGGTGCTGTTACCCCACGCGGGGACTCCTGCCCCCCCTCGTTCGTTCTCTCGCTCTCTTTTTTCCTTAGCGTTGTGTGGGCTTTGACTTGGATGTTTCCCAGTTGCTCATTTTTACATGAAATAAGTTTCCTAAGTTTTTAGGTTCAGATACCTTTTCTCACTTCACAGGACTCTCTGATTGTTTCCATGGAGTGTTTTGTTTTGTGTTTTTTGTTTTTGTTTTTTTTTTTAAACACGATGGCTTATCTTCCGAGGTTCCTTGCCTCTGTTTCCCTCCATTCCATCTGGCCGCCTCTGTTGCTCCTCTCCAGCTCAAATTTCATTCCACTTTTAGCACTTTCTCCTTTCTGGGGGACACTGCTCTAGAAAAGAAGCCTTGCCGGTCAGATTTGAGAATTCCAGTCCTTACGCTCCTCTGGTCCCTTGAACTCACTTTGTCAGCGGGAAAAACCCTGCTGGTTTTAGCACTGCTCTCAAATTGGCCCATCTTACTTCCTAGGGAATTCTTTTTGGCTACTTTGGGTCTGACTCTAGAAGGCCATGCCCCTTCCAGTAAATTACTGTCTCCCCGTGCCCTTCGAATTTCCTAGACCTCGTGTAAATAAGGCTGAAGGCTTCATCTGTGCATTCCCAGTAGAGTCCAGTTACAACACATATCCTGAGCTGAGACCTTTCTCTGAGCAAAGGAAGTCACCTAGTCACTCTGGAATTTTCTGGTCGTGCTCCCTGTACATGTGTATTTACTGTGAGATTTTCCTTTTCTCGGTGGAAGATGAAATGTCACTTTTGCATGTTTCCTTTTTTCCAGTGGAGATCCTTCAAGGTTTGGTGAGTGGAAGCCTGGGAGGCACGCTTGGGCAGGTTGTCAGTAGCCCTGTTGAGCAAGAAGGCATGGTTGGTCCTGTTTCCTTGCCCCGGAGAGCAGAGACCTTTGGAGGATTTGACAGCCACCAGATGAATGCTTCAAAAGGTAAATGATTTAGGGGCCCCTGGCTGGCTTCATCCGTAGAGCATGCGACTCTTGATCTCAGGGCCATGAGTTCGAGCCCCACATTGGGCCTAGGGCTTACTTTAAAAAAAAAAAAAAAAAAAAAGTAAATGATTTAGAACCCATACTCCTGTAGGTGACCCTTGACTGTTACACACAACCAAGAATGAGCTCATATTCTGGTAGCCGCATCTCTTCTGTCCCATTCAGTCAGTAGAAGTTTTAGCGAAAGAGTTGTTGGCTGCTAAAATACTCAAGAACCTCTGTCAGTGTCACGCTTATTTTGAGTAATAAAAAGCAATTTCCTGGGATCTCAGCTAAGCTTTGGCCAAAGAAGTAATAATACTCGTTTTTCTTTTCTGCTTCTAATTCTTCTGTGGCCATAAAATTCTTAATAATCACTGAGCTCCCCTCAGGTGGCTTCCCCCTTTCTGGCATTAATAAGATGCAGGAATACCATATCCCTAAGCTATATATGTTGTATTCTTTTCTTGGCCGATGTGTTCCACAACTTAAAACAAAACACAACAAAACACCCTTGTTTGTTTCAGGAGGTGAGAAGGAAGAGGGGGAGGATGGCCAAGACCTGAGGAGAACCGAATCCGATAGTGGTCTGAAAAAGGTACTTTTCTAAAGCCTCTACAGCCATAATCTTTGCAGTTAGTCCCCTTGGATCTTGTTTTGGATGCCTGACTTGCTGTCATTTCCTACTTCGAGAGGAAAGCACATTTTGAAACGAACCCTACAATTAGAGTCCCATGTTCCTGGCCGTTAGGCCTCTTGGGCTAGAACCCTGTGCTTACAGTCCTGGCTCCCCTGCCCCCCGGCATTAAGAGCTTTGGGTCAGTGACCCACGCCAGCCTGGACTCTCTAGGGGCTTCCGCTAAGTCCAGCCTCAAACCTTCACTACCCTACAGCGGGAGGCTGTGGTGGGAAAGAACGAAAATGGGAAGCCCGAGCATAATTGAGACACACATTAAATATTTTTGCCTGAGGATCTTCTTTTTTTTTTTTCTTTTTAAATGCATGTTTTTTGTTTTATAGGGTGGAAATGCTAACGTGGTATTTATGCTTAAAAGAAACAGTGAGGTAAGGGCATTATGAGCTATGTATAAGAATAGGATTTTGTCGTAATTGCTAGGCTAGGAATGCTCATCTGTGTTTTGCTGTTACGAACAAGCTGACTCCTGGCTTCCATCTGTACACTTAGCGGTGGTGTCGCCATTTTCCTTACCTTGCTGTTTCCCTGGCCCCCCGGGCCATCATCCTGGAATTGCGCCAGACCGTGGCCTACTAACATGGCCTCGGCATCTCTGTCCCTGAGAAGCAGGCCTCTTGCTTTCTGGGAACATGCGCTGCCACGCCTGCTTGCCTGGCACACGAGCCTGGCACCAAAAGCCACAAGTGTGGGCCATGGCACCTCAACTTGTGGGCCACTCTGCGTAGTAATAGCCTATCCTGCGAGGACTCAAGTTGCGTTTTCTTCTTTGAGCGTTGTGCATCACTGAGAAAGCAGCCTTGGTGTCCCTCTCATTGGAGAGCAGGCTCTGAGGGGGTCTCCCTCCCCTGCCTCCGTTCAGGTCTGCTGACCCTGCCGGGGAACTGTGCCGCCGTCCCTGCTCCTTGCTCCTGGCCGGCAACCCCTATTCCCCAGGCCACCACCCTCTCCAGACTTGTGTGGCTCGGAGCGCGGGCGCGCGTGTGCCTAGATATGGGACGGTGGCTTTGTGGGGCATCCCTCTCAGGATGCCATTGTGTTTCTTCTTGCTTTTAACATAGTATCTTAAGTCCCTGAGGAGCTTTGTTTTAAAATTTTTAATTAAAGGGAACTTTCCCCTTTTGCCCCCTAAGACGCAGAAGGGTGTTTTTCGTTGGGTGGCATTGTCGTGTAAACACTGCATTCTGAAGGCAGCCCCCTCAGTGTGTTTGCCTTAAACGAAATAAAGTTACTCTCACACAGACTAGTACTCTCTGTATCTCCTGTTCGAATGAAATTTTGCCCATATTTTTCTGTTCGGTGACTTTTCGCCCATGTATTTCGTGACAAGGGTCAAGGAAGAAAGTACCAGACCCGGGCTTTTCAGGCATTCCAGCATGGATAATACACTGCGGAAGCCCAGCCACAGCCCACTGGTCTTTGGTGACCTCTCTCTGTTTATTAAGAATATTAATATTCTTAATTAATATTAAGAATAAACTGAAGAGGAGTAAAAAGTGTATTCTCAGAAGAGCTAAGCCTTGTAATTAGGTTTTTTGTGTTTTGTTCTAAGTACAGTTGAATAACATGGATTTGAACTGCAAGGGCCTACTTAATATGCAAGCTTTTTTCAATAAATATAGTGCAGTACTATAAATGTGTTTTCCTTATCGTTTTTCATAACGTTCTCTTTAGCCTACTTTTATAAGAATACAGCATATAATACATATAACATATAAAGATATGTGTTAATCACCTATGTTAATGGGTAAGACTTCAGGTCAACAGCAGGCTATTTGTAAAGTTTTTGGAGACTCAGAAATTATACGTGGATTTTCTACTGTGCAAGGGAGTTGGTGCCCCAAGCCCTACATTGTTCACGGGTCACCTGTATTATAAAAGGAATATGTGGTCATGGTAGAACGTTTGAGAAATGTTCAAAAACAAAAAAGAAAAAAATGAGTAAAATAATCCCACCACTGAGGAATAACTACTGTTAAATGTTGGGTGTTTATATTTCCACACAACATAGATTTATGTGTCTAAGTTTGCATGAGTGTGAATAGTACAAAAATAGTTTTGTGTCATTTATATCCATGCCCCCTGGAGCTTCGTGTCCTTTTTTCTCTCAACACATTCGAAGCATTTCCCCAGGGCCTTGTGTGCACAAGCATGCTCTTTTAACAGCTGCACATTGCTCTGTTGTGTGCCATGGCTTAGTTCATTCTTCCTCTGCGTCTTCATGTGGGATCTGACGCAGCAGGAACAGCCTGGTGCAGCGCTTCTGCGCTCTAGAAAGAACTGTGTGCGGCGTGCGCCCCTTCCCTCCGTACAAGGCCATTCTTGCTTTCACCAGCATTGGGAATGGTCTGTTTTTAACTGATGTTTTGTTGGTTTCATGAGTGCAGGTGGTGTTTTATTTTTCATCTATTTGATTTCAAATAAAGGTGAATCATTTTTAATAGGTCATATAATTGACCATTTATATTCTTCTTTTGCAAACTGCTGTTTCTGTTGCCTTTTTGCTTCCTAGGGTATTCATTTCTCATTGATCCACGGGAGCCTCTTCTTTTTTTTTTTTTATTTTTTATTTTTAAGTGAAGGGGTTTTTCCTTTGGCTTTCTGTTCAAAGTGTCCCTGCATTTTATATTTTAATTTTATGTTTCACACAGTGGCAAGTGAAAGTACATCTGTGGCTGCTTGCCTTGCTTCTTCGAAAAGCCTCTGTTTCACGATCAGAAGAGACATTCTCATATTTTCCACAACTCTCTTGTGGTTTTTGTTTGTTTGTTTGTTTGTTTTACACTTAACATTTTAATCTGCTTGAATGAATATGTTTTGTGTGAGCCAGGATCCCAACTTAATTTTTCCCAAAGATTTAGCCCGTTTTCTCAGAGCAATTTGTTGAATATTCTTTCCTTCCCCATTGATTTAGGAATGCTACTTATATACTGAATTCCTGTGATTTGCTCTGGGCTTTCTGTTCTGTTACGCACACCATTTTTGCACCACTCATTTTAGAGAGTTGGAGCTTTATCATGCCTTTAATGGGTGCTGATGGCCCTCCTGCACAGTTGTTCCGTTTGCTTGATCTTGTTTTGTATCTCTTGGCCATCTGTACCTGCTTATTCTTTTTGGTGCTTTCAGTCTGGAAACGTTCCATTCAGACGCAGGCCCCTTGCTGTGTGTGTAGTGGGTTAGGCTCAAGACGTGACATGGTGTAGTGGGTTCCAAGACTCCATCCTGAGGTGATGTTTCCATTGCCTCCTTTTGCAGCAGGTTGTCCAGAGTGTCGTTCATCTCCACGAACTCCTCAGCACACTGCAGGTACGGGCCTTTGTCTTTCACCCCTTCACTTACTTGTTTTAAGAGAAACCATAAGGGTATTGTGGGCCTGGATCTTTGAGGTCTGTGAGCTGCTCATGGGTAAAATGGGGCCCTCCGTCAAGACAAGACTGGCTGTCATGATGAGAAAGGGTACAAAATGCAGTGCCTAGAGTGTCATTGACCTCATAATACAGAACTGATGAACAATTGATGAATTGATGATGGCAGACTATGTATAGGTGCTCTTGGTAACCTTAGCGCAGAGCCCATGAAGCCTTAACAAGGTTTGGGTGCTTTATTTAGCATGATTGTAAGTTTCCATATCTCCCTGTAGTGTGTGGATAGGGAAGTCCTCCCGGGAATAACTGCTATTTAGCATTTTCTGGGAATTATCCTTAAATTCTACGCACTTCCTTTCTCGAAACTGTTAAGAGATCCAATTCCTACTTCCTCCCACCTCCAGAACACACACAGCCCCCACCCTGGGCAGTGTCAACAGCGTGTGAGCAAGTGTAACAAGACTCTGGGTCCCCACACAGTTGACATTTTGTGGGCTAAGTGCCCCCCGGGGGGGGGGGCGCGGGCACGGACTCCAAGGTTATAGTGGAGCACTGCGGACCAGACCCGCCTAAAAATGAGGGGAGAGCTGTGCTCTGTCCCTGGGCGGGGGCGGGCTGGATCGGTGGCACCTCCCTCCTCCGCATGTCCCCCCCCCTCCCCCCCCCCCCCACCGCAGGGCGTGGTGCTGCAGCAGGACAGCTACATCGAGGACCAGAAGCTGCTGCTGGCGGAGCGCGCACTCGCGCGGAGCTCGTCGCGCCCCAGCTCCCTGGTGGAGCAGGAGAAGCAGCGCAGCCTGGAGAAGCAGCGCCAGGACCTGGCCAACCTGCAGCGGCAGCAGGCGCAGCACCAGGAGGAGAAGCGGCGGCGCGAGCGCGAGTGGGAGGCCCGCGAGAGGGCGCTGCAGGAGCGCGAGGCGCGGCTGGCGCAGCGCGAGCAGGACGTGCGGCGGGGCCAGCAGGAGCTGGAGCGCGAGCGCGACGAGCTGCAGCACCGGAAGGGCGCCTACCAGTGCGACCTGGAGAGGCTGCGCGCCGCGCAGAAGCAGCTGGAGCGGGAGCAGGAGCAGCTGAGGCGCGACGCCGAGCACCTCAGCCAGAGGCAGGCGGAGCACGACGCCCGGCAGGTGCGGGCGCCCGCCCGGAGGGTTGCGGGCAACGAGAGCCCGCGTCCTGAGCACGGGGCGGCGGGCAGGGGCTTCCGTGGGCGTTCGGGAGCCCGCACACCCGTGGCCGACCGGCCTGACGGTGGACACGCTCGTCGCGTGTTGCCGTGTGTCTGACTGACTGACCTGGGGCCCGGAGAGGAAACTCAAGTAGCACCTTCCGGAGGGGCGGTGGGTTCAGCTTCCCGCAGAGGCGGTCAGGTGTCAGGTGGGGGCGGCCGGGAGCTCAGCAGAGCCCCCGCTGAAGCCGCCCCCCGCCCCGCGGCCTCGATCAGACGGTGCTCCTCTCTCTCCGGGTTTCACCTCCGACGCCCCACCACCCTCTACCCCGACAGGCTCCCGTAGCCCCTCCGCCCTGAAATAATTCTCCACAGCCCTGTGTGAATCAGTCTTCACCTAAGCAGCTCTCCCGTTTCTTAAGGGGATGGGAGTTCTCCTCTGAGCTGCCTCATCGAAGGTACTATTAATTCTTTGTGGTGCTGACGTTAAGTACGTGTAGTAAAAATAGGAATGGCGTCAAGGGGGATATTTGTAGCCGTTTCCCAGGTACTGCGTGGGGAGGGCTAGTCAAGAAGTCCTGAATCCTGTTTAGTGGGTGCCGTGGCGTCCAAGAAGTGGGTACACACCGGGCTGATGTCCCCCACTGTTGACCTGGGCACGTAGTGAGCGGGCCCTGGGGATGCCGCTGGCCCCTGACTTAGAGCCTCGTGTTTTGACCGTGTGCAGGTGTCACATCAGCACACCAAGCTGCTGAGGATCCCATCCTTCCTTCCGAATCCTGAGGAGTCCCCCTTGCCATCTGCACCTTCGATCGCCAAATCAGGATCCCTGGACTCAGAACTCTTGGTGTCCCCAAAAAGGAACAGCCTCTCTCGGACACACAAAGATAAGGGGCCTTTTCACATACTGAGTTCCACCAGCCAGCCAAACAAAGTGCCCGAGGGTCAGGGCCAGACCCCCGTGCCCGCCTCCGCCTCCACCCGCCTGTTTGGGTTGGCTAAGCCAAAGGATAAGAAGGAGAAAAAGAAGAACAAAAAGGGCAGCCGCTCTCAGCCTGGTGGTGAGTGACACACGCCAGGTCTCCCTACGGCCATGTTGCTCCTGGATCCTGAAGGGTGGGCAGGGTTAAACCGAGGGTGCCACTCGACTGTGTCAGAGCTGCACCGCCGTCCCCCCAAGCCCACTTGCTCTGCCTCTGGGGGGCTGTCTGGACTCCCACTAAGAACACGGACTCCCCAGGCATTTCGGACCCCCCCCCCACCGTGTGCACGCGGGTGGCAAGGAGAGCACGCGGGTTTCCGTGTGGGGGCATCTGTTGTTACCCAGCTGAGGGCCTGACACTCACCTCAGTGAAGACTAACGTCTTCCCCGCTTTTCTGTAGGTCTAGTCCAGTCATCGGTATAACTAGTACTTGGTGAGCATTTCCCAGGGTCTGATTACTCCCGCAAGTGGCTGCGTGAAGTAGGTGATGCCAGGCTCGTGATTAAACCCCACTAACCGAGGCTCCCAGTTTGTGCAGCCCTTTCTCCTAAGTCCTCCCTCTGTGCCTTCTCCTTAGGATTGCTCCCTCCCATCTCTGTGGGAGATGAAAGAGAAGTTTCTGTCTCTGGGCCTGTTTGTGTGTGAATAGGAGGTCCAGTGCTTTGTCAAGTTAAAGGGACCAGGGGACAGCAAAGGGTGTCAGAGGACCTCATCTACTAAACCAGTCAGGGAGCCCCAGTGGGGGAGGTGGGGGATGGGGGGGTGGACTGCCCACCCGGCCAGCAGCTGTTGCATCCCAGAAGACTCGGGTTGAGGAGGAAGGGAAGGGAGTTCAAGGAAGAGAGCAGTTTTTTTCTGAAGTTCTTTCTCCTTGGTTTCCCCTTTCCCAGATGGCCCCGCGTCAGAAGTGCCCGCGGAGGGTGAAGAGATCTTCTGCTAACCCTGCCCTCTGCCATGGCCACTGCCTCGTGTCCAGCCCTGCCTCTCCTGCTGTTCCTGGGGGTGGTCTCTTACCTTGGACACCCGAACTGCCCCAGGTCCTGGACCAGAGGGACAAATGGTCTCGAGTGTCAGGGTGGGGCAGGAGACCCGGGATTGGCGGCTGCCGACGGCTCCCGGCTCGGGGCGGCCCTACTGAGGATGTTACACTGAAAGTAGGTGGCCCCAGAAGTCCAGGCGATGGTTTCGGACATGTCAGGAATCTCTAAAGGCTGAAAGAAGTTTCCAAATAAGGTCTGAAATTCTACCTGCCTTTTATTTGAGGGACATAAGCAACAAACAGCAGATAGTTTGGATTTGGTCTGTGTACATAGAGTTACCCGTCTGCATATACACATGGGCCGTGCCAGAATTAGGCGCCATCTGTAGCAGGGGCCTGGTCAGCTTGACGCAGGAGGTGCTGCCTGACCCTGCGCCGGGAGCACACGGGCGCTCGGCCCGTCCCCCCCCCCCCCTTGTCCTCCAAGGTGGTTTTCTCGTCAGCCTACCCCGTGCACACCTCCCCTCTTTCTGCATGTATTTCTCGATCTTAGAAGGGCTGGCAGGCATTTGTGAAAACCAGTGAGAGGAGGCATGATGTGTTCAAAAAACATATATACACACACACACAAACGTGTGTGTGTGTGTGTATATACATGTGATCTGTACCATCTTGATTTTGGTGTTCGTCATTAAAAAAAAAAAATCTAATTTTAACATGAAATCCAAAGAAATAGACTGGCTTTCCAAGATGTTTGCCCACATACTCTAGGCACAGATGCAGTAAAGCAGTCTCCTTGTCCTTACTCCTGCATTGTGCCACTTTCTGGTTGTCACTGACCCCCGGCCTCCGGCACCATCCCAGGGGAAGCCACTGCTCCACAGCAAGGTTGTCCCCACCCCTGCACTAGGACAGGGCCCCCGGCCCCTCTCATTTTTATACCAGGACAGCCTGAGAGGGAGCTGGCCCAGGTGTGGCTGGGAAACGTGCTCATTCAGTATTAGGAGGCCAGGGCAGAATTTGATTTCTTAACCCATTTTCCAAATCTAAGGGTCTGTTGGTTATTGTACCGCACCCCCTCGAAGGTGCCAGATGCGGCCTGCTTTCTCTGCGCTTTCCCGCACTGTTGGTGATCTGTATTTGCTTGAGGCTCGTGAGCAGCTGCTGGGAGCAGGATGGTTTGTGGAGTTCTCTGAGGCCCCCTCTCCCTGCTGGACTCACTGCTCCCCTGTGAGGGGAGACCCTGGAGAAGTCTGTGCTTTCGGTGTGCCCTGCATTCCTGCTTCTCGCCCCTCAGGAGCATGGGTCTTTGAACATACTTTTTAGAAAAACGAAATCTGTAACTTGGTGCTTGTTGATGAATTGCAAGCTGGCCTTGCAGATGGAGATATTTATCTTTCAGTTTATTTGAAAGAGGTCTGGTTTAAAATTTTTAGCTTAGATTTGTTTATTTATTTGTGTGTGTGTGTGTATGTGTGTGTGTGTGTGTGTGTTTTAAGCCCTACGGTTTCAACTGTCTGATCCGTGCAGAACATGACCAGCCACAGTGCTCCTCCCTCCTCAGTGTCTGTCAAAGTGCGTGAGGGCCCAAAGGAAAATGAAAGGGGGATCCATTCCCTTCCTCCCCTCCCCCCACCTCCTTCTTCCATCAAGGGATGTTGTCGTCTTGCATGTGAGTCAAGAAACTTGCCACCTGTGAGTTACGCTCACCTGTTTGTCACAGAGATTTCTTAGCCTTCAGAAACACTTTAAGAACAAGACCAGCTAAGCTAATCATCTTTTGAACCCTGATGTAACCGCCCCCACACACACCCCCCTGAACCCTAAACAGGGAAAAGAGCGGTTACTTCCTTGCTCGGGCCCCACAGCCATGCCTGCGCTGGTTTTCCTCAGATGCGCGTGGGGCCCAGCTGTCCGTTCTCGTCACCAACTCGAGCTCCCCTCTGGGCTCGCTGTCCCACGAGACGTGGGCTGCTGGAGGGAATGGCACCGGGGAAGGAAGCTCCCTCCCTCCTTCCTCGGTGTCCACGTAGGCCAGGCCACACTGTTCCTGGAGCCTGCACCAGGAAGCGCTGGGTGCTGACAAGCTGGGCCCTCTTCTCTCCAACAAAACGCTGTGGACCCCGAGTTTCTGTCCACGGCTGCCCAGCCTGATGGCAATTTGAAAGTGTCTCTTACTCCCAACTAGCTCTGAGGTTGAAGTTGCTTTGGTGGTGGTGCTTGTTTAAACGGAGGCTGCACCGGCACCCACCCCCAGTCACTTAGCTCGGGCAGGTTCTGGTTGGACAAGTGTAGAATCAGACTTGGAAAGTAGCCTCCTGCTTCCACACCACTGCCCACCTTCATCCAAAATCGAGTCTGCAGTACAGAGAGACAACTGCTTATTAAGAGCCATGCTTTGACATGTCTTCCTCCCCCTCCCCCCCCACCTCCCCCCACCCCCAGAAACTGAACTCCAGGGACTTCTTTGTCATGCTTGGAGAACTACCTGGGTTGTTGCTGCTTGTGCTTGTGACCTTGGGAACTGCTCTGGTTCCAGAGGCGGTTCCCTGTTGTGTTCTCCAGCAAGCTCAAGAAAGCAGATGCCGGGCTTTGTGGTTAAGTTTTAGGGGGACAGATAGAGACACCAGCCAGAGTCCCCAGATTTCCAGAGTCTAGTGAAGTTCCTGGAAGGAGGCTCAAAAATTCTATCTCAAAAATGCTATCATCTCAGAAGTTGTCATCCCAGTTGGGTGACGTGCACTTTAAATGCTCTCATCCGTTGGCTTCGTTTTTGAGACAATCAGCTATGTGAACTGTTTTCTTCTTTGAAAACGGAGAGGGTTAAAAACATGCAAATTGCCATAATTCAGCCTTTGCCAACATTCCATTCTCTACCCCCGCGAGAGCGATCTGTGGGGAAGAAATCCTTATCAAGATTTTTTTATTATTTTTTTGAAAAGGTACGAATCTTACCTTTCTCCCTGTTGTGTCTCAGGGTAGCATCACTAAAGTTGTCTCTTTGAGAATAGTTCTCCCTTATTCTCTTCCCGAGCCCCTAGTAGCAGTAAGCACAAATTTTCAAGACCCTTGGGGTTTGTTGTCCCTTTCCTGGGAGGGGGGCAGGTATGGGCGTGCGGGGGTTTGATAAAGTAAGCTCTGCCTTAAGTGAAGGGCAGAACCACACCTTAGAGGCCAGGACTTGATCCAGAAGTTGCTGTCCACAGAAGTACTTGATATTTCATTGCTTGGTCTCTCAGTGGCTTTTCCATGGCCAGTTCTTTCTTCCCGAGGATTTTGGTATTTGTCAGGGAGGGCTGCAGTCCACTCCAGTGTTGATGGGTGACTGGTTGCACCCAGGCCAGCCGAGCCCTGGGAGGAACGGGTGAGTGGGCCTCAGTGGCCGTCCACAGGGTGGCTTGGAGGGGACTCCAGACTCTGCCAGAGGGGATCGACCTCCTCCCCCCCCCCCCCCCCCCCCGCCCCCCCGCCAGGCTTGGATGCCCTCGGACTGTGGAAGCTCGGAACCAGCCCCGTAGGTTAGACGGCACGTGCGCCCTGCCCGCCCGCCTTCCGTCCAGACACACGCATGCCGGGGGTGCTGGGCCCGGCTCCCCAACACGCAGACAGAGAGGGAAGGGCAAAGAGTTTGTTGTGGTTTGCGTCTTCATTTGTCTTCCAGCGTAGCCTGACATTCCTAGTTACCCAGAGCTTTGGAATCTGCTTGCTGGCCAGGTTTCAAAGTGAAAAGTATTTTAATGCTGCCATAAAAGTAAAAACAAAAAGGAAGGGAAAAACAAAGGCTTCTGTCTTTGTACCCCTCTAATTTGTCAAAAGATTACAGGCCTTGAATTAATTCTCCATCTTGCTAAGGTTGAAAGCCGGGCAAACCCAGATGGCGAATGCCCTCCGGCCCCAGACCACGAGCCCGGCCTGTGCTGGGGGCTCCTTGCTGCCTCGAAGCAGAGCGTGCTGCCTCTTCACCCCAGATATTCACCCATCTTGAGCTCTCCTGCCTTTTGCAGCCACCCGCCAGAGGCCCGCCCGGTCAGCTTGCCCACAGTCACGGTTCAGCCTGTGGTTTTCTGTGTTCCTTGCCCGCTGGGGGCGCGGGGAGACGCCCGGACCTGCAGGAGGGTGATTACCGTACACCTTATACCTCTGCTTTTGTGGTTTTCAAATGCTAGATGAACATTTCTGTGCTAGATTCTTTTAAATAAAAAGGGGTTAAAACCCAGATGCTGTATATTAATTTGTAATTATGTATAAAGTAAAGCAGTTTTAAACTGTAAAAAAAATTTTTCAGTGTGTTTTCTGGGATTTTGCCACAACATACTGGCTTTGTATTTTATTTATCTTCCTTTCTAGTTACTGGCTTCAGACTCTACTTGTAAAGTCCCCTCCACCCTTTCAAAAAATAAATGTCCTTTAAGTCTCGATTGTTGCCATGTTGTATGCTATCCCCACTCTGGGCTCCTGATAAAGGGGTACCCCCACTCCAAGAAGAGCCCTCTCCCCCAAAGAGAACTTCTGTTTCTAATGTACCTCTGGGAACAGGAGTCAGGAAGAGTCTGTAAGCACTCAGTGGCTCCTTGAAGACATTTTCCGGGGGCCCAGAGGCAAAACCGGGGGGTGACTGGCCAGCCCTGAAGTCATGAGATTTGTGCCTGGAATCAAAACTATTTTCAGTCATATCAGTGCAATAAAATCGTCCTTTGCTAAAGATTCTACTCTGTAAAAAGAATTAATGTTAGTTTGCCTTCCTTTGACAACTTTCTCTGCCCATATGACCCCCCCACCCAGGAAGAGGACTTTGGGGGACACTGGTGGAATAGGAGGACCCTAAGCTCACCTCGTCCCACAGACACAACTAGGTAACACATCAGTGCAAACAAGCCAAAGACCGACTCCACAACTAAATGTAGAAATGAGGCCGTATCAAAGAGGGGAGGAAAGGGAGAGACACTGTGGAGAGCTAAACAGATCACAGCCCTCCATGGGAGGGAGGGAACAGGGCCCAGAAGAGAGGAGAAAAACAGATCATCGCACCGGGAAGCCTACACGGGGAGGACGAATCCCCATGACATTTTGCTTTGAAAACCAGAAGAGCTGAATTTCACAAGTTCTTACAACCAGTAGGACTTAAAACCTGGAACCTTAAAAATTAGCTGGCTTGGCTCTGGGACTCTGGAGGGCAATAGGAACCTGAGTCCCTACCCTTAAAGAGACAGCACGACAAACAGCCCAGGGAGACACAGTATAGAAACAGCAGTTTGAAAACCACCGGGACATACAGGAGGGAGAGTTATTTACTAACCTCAGAGCACGTGCAGGAAGGGGCAGAGATCAGCAGGAGACTCCTGCAGGAACCAGGAAGCTGATCTTCACTACCCAACTTGCTAACACCTCACCCCACTCCCTGCCCTTTGGCAGATCCACCCCCTCCAGCCAGGCCTGCCTCAGTCCCGGCGCTGCAGGTCCCCTCCCCCAGAAGACTGCGAGAACCTTGCCAACACTTCGTGTCCTATCCCCTTGCACTTTGTGGATCTGTCCCTTCCAACCTGGCCAGCCTTGGTCCCTGTGGCTGCGGGCCCCCTCCCGCGGAGGACTGGCGTGCGAACCTTGCTAACACTGCACATCCTGCCCGGCACACTTTGTAGATCCACACCCGCCAATACACTTGGCAGGAGCCCACCCACAGCACAGCCACAAGCCACAGTGTGCAGGCAGCCCTGACCTGAGCCAGCACCGCTCCAAAGAGACTCCCGCCCCAAGAAGAGGGAAAGACAACCACACACACCAGTCAGACCGCAGCCCCAGCAGTGGGCTGGGGACAGACATCTGGTCTGACTACAGGCCCCGCCCAACAACAAAACCTCAGGGACAACACAGGGAAAGTGCCCTGTAGTTTGGTGATACTACAGCTCTGGCAAACGTCTGGTCGGACTCAACCCAAGCCCAAGGCAGCCCCAGAGCAGCCCACTAACAGTACGGGGACCAAACAGTGCCCACACCAGGGCAAAGAGAGCCACTGCAGGTGACTGAACAGGAGAGAAGAGGCTCAGCCACAAAAGCAGGCTGCATGCAACACACACAGAGACCACCCCCCCCACCTCGGGGGGCGCCTGGGGGACTTAGGTGATTGAGCATCTGACTCTTGATTTTGGCTCAAATCCTGATCTTGGGGTCATGAGACTGAGCCCTGCATCAGGCTCCATGCTCAGCCCTGACTATGCTTGAGACTCTGTCTCTCCCTCTCCTGCCCTTCCCCCTGCTTGTGCTAGCTAAATAAATAAATAAATAAATAAATAAATAAATAAATAAATAAATAAATAAATAATTTTTAAAAAAAGACACCCTTGAAGCACCCAGGTTCTGCACTGCAGTGCACTACAGGACCTCTTCTTCCACTACTTGCAAGAATAGGAGACATAGGTTACTTTCCTAACACACAGAAACAGACACAGAGTTAGACAAAATCAGGGGACAGAGGAATATGTCCCAGGTGAAAGAAAAGGACAAAATCACATCAAGAGACCTAAGTGAAATGGAGGTAAATTATACGCCTAACAAAGAATTTCAAGTAATGATCATGAAGATCCTCACTGGACTTGAGAGTGGAGGACCTCATTGAGGCCCTTAGCAAAGAGATAGAGAACATAAAAAA